AATCAGAACAAGCTAGTCTTAAAGACAAATCTTCTTCGTCAGATCTGAAGTAACTGTATCTTTCACGAGATAGTAAGGCAAAATCTGCTTATAACTTTTACGAATTCCTCTTGACATAAAAGTAACGGCATGATTAGCTTGTCACTATATCCCAAGTCTTTAAAACCATAAATCTTGTCGTAATTACTTGATTAATTATTTTTCCATTCATTAAGGCACTACATGATTCCCGAAGTACAGTTTGTTGTGTGAAGGAATTTTTACCTGACATGTAGTATTAAAGAATTAAAAAAGTTGAGATGCTTATCGCCATCAGTGATATCCTATTTTTCTAGCAATGATATCTTTTTCTTTTCTAATTTCAAAAGTGCTTTAACCAAGTCATTTCTATGTTGCTTCGAGTCCCTTCGGGAACGCGTTACGGCGACATACAATTTTCAGGTATTTTTATATGGCAAAGTACTTTGAAAATGATGTAATTTTTGTAAGATTTGTCGCTTTTTGTGCGGCTGCTCCAAAAACGGCGAGTGTGACGAGTGTGAATCAAAGACTTAGTTTCTTCGACTTATTTTTGTCACAGAGTACTTGTTTATGGCATTTCAGATTCCGCTTCTCAATCCCCAGTTTCTGTCAGAACTAAAGACGCTTGGATATTTTCTTTCGCCTTTTTTTGGTGTGATTATTGCCAGGAATATGAAAAACCCAACCAGAACTGTTGTCCTAACACATTGGTTAGTTGTTATGCAATCTTCGACTAGAATGTTGCATGTGTACTTATGGATCACAACAGTTTGGTCATGAGGTGCGAAGTAAAACATCTACACAATTGAGATCCAATAACAAACCGTAAAAAAACCTATAAAAAAGTCATGATCTATTAGTTAGGTTGGAGAATACGAATTAGTTCTTTCCTTCAAGGATACTCAAACAAACAACCAACAGTGCACTCAAGAAGAAGAAAAAGAATTGTTAAATTTCATATAGACTGTTATTGTTATTACAAAAAGAAGTTGAAGCAGCAGCAAATTCTCACAAATCTATAGATCCATCACTTTCAGCACCTGATTTTTCAACTTGAAAAATGCAGCTCGGTGAAGAATCACAAGGTAACTGTTGTCTATTCAGACAATACTCTTCTAAAAGCTACGCGAAGTTACCTAGTGCCTTACAAAATTGCCTTCATAATTCTTCATTATTGTCAATGGAAAACTGAAATTGTTGATTATTACAGTTTTTAATGCTGCAAATAAGCAGATGGGGTTCGTGTTGGAAATCCCACGTCTAATCTCGCAAAACAGGTTATCCACCGGATCTTACTATCAACTTCTGAAATGCCATTACTGTTTTTAGCCATGTGTACAACAGGTTTGTACGCATAAAACACTCTTACATGAAAACTGTTTATTGTCTAAAAACGAAAATACCCCATTTGAAGATGAGTAATGCAACAAATATAATTTACGAAACTTGAACTGTAATATGAACATAAAAAAACTAACAAAATGGGCCATTTAACAACATATTTGGTGTTGATATTCTACAACAAAAACAAATACTTTCTCGTATAAGGAAACGTACAATAATTCACATTTATCACTTTTCACGAAACAATGTAGCTGCTCTGTGACTTTGCATACTTATTACAGATTGTAGAACATTTTTTTCATTGTGTATTGTCATGTAACACCTACGTCGTTTTTTCCCTTTAACAACTGCATCAGGATCGAGAACTCTGGGCTGAGAAGTAGACGGCTTACTTTATTCGTCGTTGGTAATTTAGGATTCTTTGCATGGCTGAACGAAGCTCCCTAGGAAGTCTTGGATCTGATAAACGTCCTCTCATACGAAGTTAAATTAGAGTTTGCCTCAGGGGAACAATAAAATTTCGTCGCGCCTAATGGAACTTTCAGTCCCAGACTGAAAAAAAAAGGAATTTACAGAAGCTGGTTGGATACCAAATAGCACAAGGCCATCTTCTCGTTCTCTAACCAGTATTGTAATTTACACACTTCCGATCTAATGCATTACCCCCCGCCTTCATAGTGTTATAAAAATAATATAGGATCTTATCAGGTTTCTTTGATTCCTCTACTATTTTGTTATCATGCTGCATAGATTGCTATACGAGAACATGTGTATTTGGTTTTGGAAGATACTACTCTAAGGCTGTACAACATAAACTTAGAAGTACCTGGCTGTGTTTCCTTCTTATTTGGAACTACATGTTGGGGTACTTGTTACTTATTTTTACGCTTCCTGCCGACATAGGTCAGTTGGTTGATGCGCAATTCTACATGTAATTCTACTGACGTGAACCAGTCATCTGCTGTGATATTTCTGTTCGTATAGACGAAAGCATTGAGCAGGTAGTGGTGAGTCTTTGCATCATCAGTCCATACTTATTCGGTTTAGTTTTCTTGTAGGCACAGGAAGGACATCGGCCCACGAGCATCTCGTATTTTGTAGGGGACTCACCCGAAATATAACAATTTCGACAGTTCTCTATGAGTGTCTCGAAAATTTCACGTATTTGGAGAAATTTATCGGCATTTCTCGAGTCACAGGGTTATTATTTTCCAAATTGGTTGCCACGGACTTTAGTTCAGGTAAATGCGTAATAATCGACCAGTTGCAGGCGCTCGTTTTGACCAATTGTACATGTTTTTTCCATAGGCATAGCGAGGTCGCCCATAGGAAGTTGTTCAGGTTGATCGATAGCAGCGTCGTCCTCGGCGTAGTCTATAGTGTATTGTTCATCCGTCAACAACGAAAAAATCCATTGTGAAGGAAGTTCAAATCGTACACGCAACTGACATCCTCGGATCAAATTTGACCGCAAAGTCAACAAACCAACAATTGTGATGTTTAAATTAAACTGTGGTTTGAGGTATACGTGCTCATACCGTATGAGAAGTCACGGGACCCCCACCACATAACTGAGAAAGCTCGAATCATCCGACGATATCATTAAAGGATTAATTTCTATATTCTTGAACGAATCTATAAAATCAAAGTGGCTGGGTTTCAATTTACATAGCTCTTTGTATGGTCTTGTTTGCTGATCAACATTATATGATTTCTAGACATGTTCAATCTGTGCAGCTTCTTCACTTTCATATTAATGTCAATAAGAGCATTTCATCCATTTTTGAATAAATGTGGTTCATCACAAATTGTAGAAATACTCTGAGCATTGACTATAAAATGGAATGGACTTGATCCGTGAGTATTCTCCGAGCAAATCGTCTCAAGTGCGTTTTTGATCGTTGCGCCCTGATTAGAAATAGTGCCAACAACGCACAAACCAAGTCGCTGCTAGTTTGTGATCACATGAACAATAATCGTTTTCAGATCTGGGATTCTTGTATCTTTTACTAGATAATAAGCCACAACCTGCTTATAATTTTTACGAATCCCTCTTATCATGGAAGTAAGGGCATGATTTCTGATAAATCACTTTTTCAGAGTTCTAGTTGATTTTGTTACCTCAGAATTCAAGATTTATTAGCTGAAAATTGTACACTGTGAGCACTGGGATCAGCCCTAAACTTTGTCCAAACCCTGCAATAATCGTAAACACTAAACAAGGGTAGACATATTTCTAGTTTAACTGCCTGAAGATTTTCTCTATGGTTTATACGTAACTCTCCACCTATTATCTCATTTTTGTACATGTTCTGGGAGAACTCAACTTGCTCCCTATAAAATGCAACGTCTTCCTGCACAGGTGGTTCTGGTTAAGTGCCAGCCTGCTTCGGGTTTGTAATTAGTTGTTGCAATTTTCTGATTTCGTCGTCCTTTTTCATAATCCAGATTTCGTTTTGGCATTCCAGTTCAGCCATTTGATCCTGAAGCTCTTTTATAGTAGAATCATTATGGCATCGTATATCTGAGATTTTAAATGAGTGGTTGACCTCACGTTGGTTACTCTCGTCCATCAGACTCTTTACGTCATTTCTCAGTTTAGATTCAAGTTCTTTTAGGAAGCCAATTTCATCTTGCAGTTCAGCAATGTGTGACATCGTTACATCAGTTTGTGCAGCAGCACTTAAAGAATGTTGCATATCTTCGTACTCAGCGTCAAGCATAGCTTCTAAGTCTGCAACCTTCTTTTTTGACTCAATATTTTGAGCTTCAAGAGATGGTTTAGGGCTCTCTGATCTTCCTAGGTTCTTCAGTTGAGTACGCAGCATCTCTATTTCTGACTCGTATGTTTTTAGTCTTTTTATTATTTTTTTCCAGAAAATCGAGTCTGTATTGCAAGTCGATGAAATTCTTGCGCTTTTTGAGAATTTTTTTGAACTCTTTCTATTTCTTCGTTGTACGCATCCGTTACTTGGCGGAGTTCCTGACTGTAACGATCGAATTTAGAATTGGCTTCTGTGAGCTGTTTCTTCAGGTCCAAAATCTCCAGCTGATTATCTAGTTTAGTGAATTCTCTAAGCTCATTGAAAGATTCTTCCAGTTCTTTGAGTTGTCTTTTAAGTACACTTGCACGTCTTCAGCTATCACAGATTCTGCTTCGGCTAGTGCCTCCTCATATGTCTCTTCTTGAATAGGCCTCATTTCACGTCCGGATGATTCTTCTTTGGGTGGATAATTTTTCAATGGCATATACCCTAGGGATGCTTTTTTAGGTGATACGTTGCCATAGTGTCCAAAAGTATGACGTCTTAATGTTTTTTTCGGTGTTGATGCCGAGGCTCCCATTTGAAAGCGCCCGACAATAGATACTTCCGTTTTTAGTCTTTCTATCTCGAGCAGATACTCTTGTTTGCTTTTATCCATCTCTTTTAGCTTAATTGCCTGCTTTTTGAGCCGAGTTTCGAGATCGCGAGTCAAGTTCTGATATCCTTGAAGTGTCTCTTCTGTAGCTGACAAGATGTTTACTTTCGTTTTATTTTTGACAGTTTTAGTGCTTTGGGCGAATTCTGGTGTAGATCTAGTCTCCTCCTCTGCAGCTAAAGTAACATTCCCGATAATCAATGATTTGGCATTACCGCCAAGAGCCTGTGAGAGCAGTCTAGTCAATTTCGAATCGCGATAACTGATAAACTCCTTCCCCTCGCTTAGTTGCCTTATCACATTTCCTAATACTGACAAAGATTTGTTTATGTTAGCCCCCTCTTTAAGACGCTCACCAGCAGCTTTCGTCAGAGAAACTCTCTCAGAACCAGCTAAGTCCATTAAGTTAAGGTAGCTTATATGTACAGGTCCATCTTTCTGATTGGCATCTTTCGACTCCAGAATAATCCGGAAAATCGTGTGTGATCGAGATGACCTCTCATTCATGCGAGTAGCTGCAACTCGTCTGATCTTATTGCCCTGCATCATGTTCTCCATAACTTTATCAACATTGTCTACGACAGCTTCCCTTGCATCAAGCAGCACATTTCCTTTGATATCTTCTCTTATAGTTAAACCCTGATTGCTCTTATCCAGGAGGTCATTGATCTTTTCATTGTAGATTTCAATATAACTGCATCTAATCAAGTACCTCTTATCAACCTGGTCTGCCACATGCTGGAATAACTGATTGGATACTAATTGGAAAAGCCCAGGATCTGTTTTATTGCCCAAAATGGTGTGTGTTTTGCCAGAAGATGTTTGGCCATATGCAAATATTGTGGCATTGAAACCTTCCATGAAGGAATCGACTAAAGGTTTTACTACAGATCCATATACATCTGAATTTGTACATTCCTGCTTAAATACATGGTCGAATATATAAACCTCTCCATGGCGACTACTTTCATCGGCTTCCCATATGCAGTTTACTCTTACGTTCCAAAGACGCTCTAGACCATCGGCTACTTCGCGGTGGATCATTGGTCTGATCTTTGTGGCTACTTTAATATTGTCGGAAGTCATTTTGGAAGCTTGAACTGAAATTTAATTAGAACTAGGGCTATTTCACGGGTTATAAAGAGGGGCACTTTTCATAATCCAGATTTCGTTTTGGCATTCCAGTTCAGCCATTTGATCCTGAAGCTCTTTTATAGTAGAATCATTATGGCATCGTATATCTGAGATTTTAAATGAGTGGTTGACCTCACGTTGGTTACTCTCGTCCATCAGACTCTTTACGTCATTTCTCAGTTTAGATTCAAGTTCTTTTAGGAAGCCAATTTCATCTTGCAGTTCAGCAATGTGTGACATCGTTACATCAGTTTGTGTAGCAGCACTTAAAGAATCTTGCATATCTTCGTACTCAGCGTCAAGCATAGCTTCTAAGTCTGCAACCTTCTTTTTTGACTCAATATTTTGAGCTTCAAGAGATGGTTTAGGGCTCTCTGATCTTCCTAGGTTCTTCAGTTGAGTACGCAGCATCTCTATTTCTGACTCGTATGTTTTTAGTCTTTTTATTATTTTTTTCCAGAAAATCGAGTCTGTATTGCAAGTCGATGAAATTCTTGCGCTTTTTGAGAATTTTTTTGAACTCTTTCTATTTCTTCGTTGTACGCATCCGTTACTTGGCGGAGTTCCTGACTGTAACGATCGATTTTAGAATTGGCTTCTGTGAGCTGTTTCTTCAGGTCCAAAATCTCCAGCTGATTATCTAGTTTAGTGAATTCTCTAAGCTCATTGAAAGATTCTTCCAGTTCTTTGCGTTGTCTTTTAAGTACACTTGCACGTCTTCAGCTATCACAGATTCTGCTTCGGCTAGTGCCTCCTCATATGTCTCTTCTTGAATAGGCCTCATTTCACGTCCGGATGATTCTTCTTTGGGTGGATAATTTTTCAATGGCATATACCCTAGGGATGCTTTTTTAGGTGATACGTTGCCATAGTGTCCAAAAGTATGACGTCTTAATGTTTTTTTCGGTGTTGATGCCGAGGCTCCCATTTGAAAGCGCCCGACAATAGATACTTCCGTTTTTAGTCTTTCTATCTCGAGCAGATACTCTTGTTTGCTTTTATCCATCTCTTTTAGCTTAATTGCCTGCTTTTTGAGCCGAGTTTCGAGATCGCGAGTCAAGTTCTGATATCCTTGAAGTGTCTCTTCTGTAGCTGACAAGATGTTTACTTTCGTTTTATTTTTGACAGTTTTAGTGCTTTGGGCGAATTCTGGTGTAGATCTAGTCTCCTCCTCTGCAGCTAAAGTAACATTCCCGATAATCAATGATTTGGCATTACCGCCAAGAGCCTGTGAGAGCAGTCTAGTCAATTTCGAATCGCGATAACTGATAAACTCCTTCCCCTCGCTTAGTTGCCTTATCACATTTCCTAATACTGACAAAGATTTGTTTATGTTAGCCCCCTCTTTAAGACGCTCACCAGCAGCTTTCGTCAGAGAAACTCTCTCAGAACCAGCTAAGTCCATTAAGTTAAGGTAGCTTATAGTACAGGTCCATCTTTCTGATTGGCATCTTTCGACTCCAGAATAATCCGGAAAATCGTGTGTGATCGAGATGACCTCTCATTCATGCGAGTAGCTGCAACTCGTCTGATCTTATTGCCCTGCATCATGTTCTCCATAACTTTATCAACATTGTCTACGACAGCTTCCCTTGCATCAAGCAGCACATTTCCTTTGATATCTTCTCTAGTTAAACCCTGATTGCTCTTATCCAGGAGGTCATTGATCTTTTCATTGTAGATTTCAATATAACTGCATCTAATCAAGTACCTCTTATCAACCTGGTCTGCCACATGCTGGAATAACTGATTGGATACTAATTGGAAAAGCCCAGGATCTGTTTTATTGCCCAAAATGGTGTGTGTTTTGCCAGAAGATGTTTGGCCATATGCAAATATTGTGGCATTGAAACCTTCCATGAAGGAATCGACTAAAGGTTTTACTACAGATCCATATACATCTGAATTTGTACATTCCTGATTAAATACATGGTCGAATATATAAACCTCTCCATGGCGACTACTTTCATCGGCTTCCCATATGCAGTTTACTCTTACGTTCCAAAGACGCTCTAGACCATCGGCTACTTCGCGGTGGATCATTGGTCTGATCTTTGTGGCTACTTTAATATTGTTGGAAGTCATTTTGGAAGCTTGAACTGAAATTTAATTAGAACTAGGGCTATTTCACGGGTTATAAAGAGGGGCAGATGTATCAGGTTGATACATTCTTTTTTTCCTCCTTTCCAGTATAGAAGATTTTTTTCTCTTGTAGGCTATGAATGCGGTCCGATAGTTTAGTAGAGCTACATTTACAGGGTGACTCAAAATCAAAGAAGAAACAGAATTGTTAAATTTCATATAGACTGTTATTGTTATTACAAAAAGAAGTTGAAGCAGCAGCAAATTCTCACAAATCTATAGATCCATCACTTTCAGCACCCGATTTTTCAACTTGAAAAATGCAGCTCGGTGAAGAATCACAAGGTAACTGTTGTCTATTCAGACAATACTCTTCTAAAAGCAACGCGAAGTTACCTAGTGCCTTACATGAATCGCCTTCATAATTCTTCATTATTGTCAATGGAAAACTGAAATTGTTGATTATTACAGTTTTTAATGCTTCAAATAAACAGATGGTGTTCGTGTTGGAAATCCCACGTCTAATCTCGCAAAACAGGTTATCCACCGGATCTTACTATCAACATCTGAAATGCCATTACTGTTTTTAGCCATGTGTACAACAGGTTTGTACGCATAAGACACTCTTACATGAAAACTGTTTATTGTCTAAAAACGAAAATACCCCATTGAAGATGAGTAATGCAATAAATATAATCCTCGAAACTTGAACTGTAATATGAACATAAAAAAACTAACAAAATGGGCCATTTAACAACATATTTGGTGTTGATATTCTACAACAAAAACAAATACTTTCTCGTATAAGGAAACATACAATAATTAACATTTATCACTTTTCACGAAACAATGTAAGTGCGCTGTGACTTTACATACTTATTACAGATTGTAGAACATTTTTTTCATTGTGTATTGTCATGTAACACCTACGTCGTTTTTTTTCTTTAACAACTGCATCAGGATCGAGAACTCTGGGCTGAGAAGTAGACGGCTTACTTTATTCGTCGTTGGTAATTTAGGATTCTTTGCATGGCTGAACGAAGCTCCCTAGGAAGTCTTGGATCTGATAAACGTCCTCTCATACGAAGTTAAATTAGAGTTTGCCTCAGGGGAACAATAAAATTTCGTCGCCTATGGATTTCAGTCCCAGACTGAAAAAAAAAAGGAATTTACAGAAGCTGGTTGGATACCAAATAGCACAAGGCCATCTTCTCGTTCTCTAACCAGTATTGTAATTTACACACTTCCGATCTAATGCATTACCCCCCCGCCTTCATAGTGTTATAAAAATAATATAGGATCTTATCAGGTTTCTTTGATTCCTCTACTATTTTGTTATCATGCTGCATAGATTGCTATACGAGAACATGTGTATTTGGTTTTGGAAGATACTACTCTAAGGCTGTACAACATAAACTTAGAAGTACCTGGCTGTGTTTCCTTCTTATTTGGAACTACATGTTGGGGTACTTGTTACTTATTTTTACGCTTCCTGCCGACATAGGTCAGTTGGTTGATGCGCAATTCTACATGTAATTCTACTGACGTGAACCAGTCATCTGCTGTGATATTTCTGTTCGTATAGACGAAAGCATTGAGCAGGTAGTGGTGAGTCTTTGCATCATCAGTCCATACTTATTCGGTTTAGTTTTCTTGTAGGCACAGGAAGGACATCGGCCCACGAGCATCTCGTATTTTGTAGGGGACTCACCCGAAATATAACAATTTCGATTCACAGTTCTCTATGAGTGTCTCGAAAATTTCACGTATTTGGAGAAATTTATCGGCATTTCTCGAGTCACAGGGTTATTATTTTCCAAATTGGTTGCCACGGACTTTAGTTCAGGTAAATGCGTAATAATCGACCAGTTGCAGGCGCTCGTTTTGACCAATTGTACATGTTTTTTCCATAGGCATAGCGAGGTCGCCCATAGGAAGTTGTTCAGGTTGATCGATAGCAGCGTCGTCCTCGGCAAAGTCAACAAACCAACAATTGTGATGTTTAAATTAAACTGTGGTTTGAGGTATACGTGCTCATACCGTATGAGAAGTCACGGGACCCCCACCACATAACTGAGAAAGCTCGAATCATCCGACGATATCATTAAAGGATTAATTTCTATATTCTTGAACGAATCTATAAAATCAAAGTGGCTGGGTTTCAATTTACATAGCTCTTTGTATGGTCTTGTTTGCTGATCAACATTATATGATTTCTAGACATGTTCAATCTGTGCAGCTTCTTCACTTTCATATTAATGTCAATAAGAGCATTTCATCCATTTTTGAATAAATGTGGTTCATCACAAATTGTAGAAATACTCTGAGCATTGACTATAAAATGGAATGGACTTGATCCGTGAGTATTCTCCGAGCAAATCGTCTCAAGTGCGTTTTTGATCGTTGCGCCCTGATTAGAAATAGTGCCAAC